TTGAATGTTATTTTTTTCTACTAATCCAAATCAATTGAAATTTTAGGTATCTGTTTATCAAAAATAGGTGAATCTTTGGAAAATACAAAAAACATATTTTACATGAAATAAATTAACCAAAATACCCTCGAAATGTTTTGGGGGGATAGTTTGGTCATTTTATTTTCTGTAAATAAATTTTTTTATATTTTTATTAGGTGCATCTTGATAAGAAGAATACACACCTAAAATTTCAAGTGATTTGGATTAGTAGAAAAATAAATAAAATTCAAATACTATCGGATATCTATGATCGTCAGATCGGTCCAGATTCAATCTCAACCATTAAGCTCAGATGTTCATATGAGCTAATGGGCTAATCCCAATTTTTTCCTATATATATATACACACATACTTAGACTTGATTGCTTACGGCAGTGGTAACTGCAACACTATATCTCAAGTTAGAACCCGCCTTAAAAATATAAAAGAGACGTGATATGACAACCTTAGTAAGGGTTTGTGCTAAAGCAAACCCCCCATGGAATGCTAGATTTTCTTCTTTCCTTTGTCAGATATAAAAGTGTCTAAGATTTTTATGTTTGAAAACATGCTCTTTTTGTGTGTATCGATAGATATATATATATATATATTTGCATAAATGGATAAATATTTATGTACTTGTACATATATGCATGTAAGTTTATGTGTTTGTATTGATGAATATTGTATTTGCTATCACTCTTTTAGTTTTAGATTGCTTCGCAGCAATAAAAAGCCCGGCCAATAGTTTGACCTTGCTGATGATATGTTAGCATTTCATGATTTAGGGCTGCGATGGGTCTATACTATTGGATGACAACTCCACCTTCACAGGGGAGAAAACTGCAACGGGAAACGTAAATTCAGTGAGAGGTTTCGATGTGGTCGACGACATCAAATCGAAAGTGGAAGCTGTCTGCCCTGGCGTCGTCTCCTGTGCCGATATCTTGGCCGTAGCAGCACGTGACTCTGTTGTTTGCGTAAGCCAAGTCTCAGACGTGTCACTTAAGTTTTTTCAGACCACACAAAGAAGGATTCCTCACTTTCTCTACCAAAATTCTTAAAGAGATACTAATCTTTCATACCTTATTATTTTATTTTAGAGAAAATTACTACAAAAAAAAAAAAATTTTGATGTCAAAACCCCAATGCTGTTTTCATTTGCTAGCACCCCACCAACTAAAAAAAAGTGCTTTTTTGGGGACTAAAATATCTCTGTGTGACCTATGTTTGCTGCACCTGCTGGTTTTTTGTTGTTGTGCCGGATAGAAAATGGGTCCTGCCCAACAAAAAAAAAGTGTTGGACTGGTCCAGCTCATTGATTTTGTAGTGCCGATTTGACACAAAAACATTATAAAAACGTGGGGATAAAAGGGAGATGTGGGTATTTTGATAATAAATTTATTGACTTTTTTTCACTGGGGGAAAGTGCAAAAAAAAAAAACAAAAAACAATATGGAAAAATATAAAATGAGATCATTTACGTTTGGTACAAGGTGGTTACATTAATCTTGATTATTGGATATGAAACTTCTATTGACCAATTATTCTATTGACCAAGTTCAAACTTCAAAAGAAATAACCGATCAAGTCCGTGTGCAATTTCAACTCTTTGTAATTTTTTTCTTCTTTTTTTTTTTGTTTTTAATTATGCACCATATGTAGTTGTATGGTCTTGCATGTTGCTGCCTCTAAAGATGCGAAGAGTTTCTTAAGTCAAATGATTTCTCGTTTCCTTTTCGTTTTTCTTTGGTATTGCTCTACTCTATAATTCGAACAAGTGTTGGAATCACAATGGTTGAAACCTATATTAATCATGATCAAGTTAAAATCCAAGAGTTTCCATCTTTAGGAAGTGATGAATTTGAAGTTTAAGCTGTTTAATGGGTTGATGGTGTTGATTTTAATGCAGTTTGGTGGGCCAACATGGACTGTGTTATTAGGGAGGAGAGATTCAACAACTGCTAGTCTAAGTGCAGCCAACTCAAACATTCCTTCACCTACCTCAAGTCTCAGTAATCTCATCACCAGTTTCTCAAACCAGGGGCTAAGCCGCAGCGAGATGGTCGCTCTTTCAGGTCAATAGCTTCCCCACTCTCTCTCTCTCTCCATGGTTTTTATCTTATTTCTCTAATATCTTTTTGATAGGGTTTTTATATAAGGAAGCATAAACCCGCAGGTGCAAATAATAGTTTGAACTTATGTACATGACTTTGTTTTCAAGTGGAAGGAAAATATATACAATGCGACCATCTATTTTTGACATAAGAAGGTCACAATCATCGTTGACCGTTCGATTTGAAATTGGGTAGTTGAAGGCACAAAGTCTGAAATAGAATCTCTCAAAAGTTATAACACATATTCAACTATTAGATTTCACATCTAATGGCTAAAAATAATTACGATCTTCTTATATAAAAAATAAATAGTCTTATCGTATACAATCCCATATGGACGCATTCTTATTTGGTTATTTTTGCAGGTTCTCACACAATTGGTCAAGCTCGGTGCACTAGTTTCAGGGCTCACATTTACAATGAGACCAACATAGAGTCAACCTTCTCTACATCTTTGCAATCCGACTGCCCATTCAGTGGAGGTGATGACAACCTTTCTCCTCTTGATGCATCATCAGCAACTGTATTTGACAGTGGATATTACAAGAACTTGGTGAACAAGAAGGGTCTTCTCCATTCTGATCAAGAGCTTTTCAATGGAGGCTCAACTGATTCTCAAGTCAATGGTTACACCACCTCATCTTCAACTTTCTTCAAGGACTTTGCCAGTGCCATGGTGAAGATGGGAAACATAAGTCCCCTCACAGGCACTAGTGGGGAAGTTAGGACCAAATGTGGAAAGGTTAATTAGGGTTTGCTGTTCTTTAGTTCACAATGAACTTTTATCTTATAATATAATCTTCTAAGTCTTTTTTTTACTGGTGTTGGAGCTAAATGCATGCTCAGAAGTGGATCTGCAACAGATGATCTCAATATAAATGAAGTGTCTACTCTTTCTTCGCTTTGATTTTTCTTTAATTGTATTGAGTGTCCCAATCAAATAAGCAATGAGCAAAATTTAGATTCAAGATGCACTTCACTGGACTTAACAAGTCCAAGGTGCAATATGCTTTATTATAAATCAACAATATTGTTAAGGCAGAATAATAAGAGTGTGAGTTTTGTCCCTAATTCTTTCTTGCTCTTATTTTGTTCAAATTTTCTTGACTTCATCTCTTTGAACTGTAAAAGAAGAATTCCTTCAGATTTGGAGCTTTCATAAAAAAAACCGACAAAGATGGGAACATAAAGGGCACATTTGGTAACTGGAAGCTTGAATCAGAGTTGCCAATTCCCAATTTTAGAACCTGAAAGGCAGAAATTCAGTTACATGGTATGTGTTTGGTTAGTATGCCTAGGGGATTCTAGAAACTAGGTTATGGTTTAAGCTGGAGTTTTGTGAGCTGGGTGATGTGAAAATCAACCAATTTTAACCATTCAGTGAATTTTTTTTTAAGGAGATATTGATGTTTGTTAAATATGCAACGGATTTCAAAATCATACCTTATCCATGGCAAGTAAAAAAAAAAAGGGCTTTCTAAAAAAAAAAAAAAAAAGGGACTTTCTAAATCACACAAAATGAATTTTTTTTTTGCATGATTTGCATGTCTAGAAATTTAGGTTTCATTTTATTTTTCTTTAATTTGAATTAAGTTAAGGTTTTGGGTATATATTTTTTTCACCTTCATGCACCTGTAAAAAATATGAAAAAATTATTTGGAAAAAATACAATGATTGAAATACCATCACAGTCTGTTGATGTTGAGAGCATGTCTGAGTACTTCAATTTTGTTTTATTTTATACATTGGATCGAGCTAAAAATTTGGACATCTATGCAATTATAAAAAATAATATATATATATATATATATATATATGGAAGATACAACAAAACACCTATAGGCAAAAATGAACAGTGATTTCACCTACCCTCACCACCATCCAAAGTTCATTGTACGGTCACGATTGTCCAGTAGTATTTCATTTTGCATTTGTTTTCTATGAGTCAAAATGATCTGAAATTTGGAGCGTGTATTCATAAAAATTAGGCGAATCTAAGAAAAATATCAAAAAAATATTTTACATGAAATAAATATTCCAAAATACCCTAAAAAAGTTTCAAAGGTATTTTGGTCAATTTATTTTTCACGAATTATTTTTTTTATATTTTTATTAGGTGTGCCTAACTAAGATATACATACGCTATAAATTTCGTATCATTCTAATTTTTAGAAAAAAAAATGAAAGATAAAATACTACCAGACAATCATGATCGTGCGATGAACTTTGAACGGTGATGAATGTAGATGAAATCACTGTTCGTTTTTTCCTATAGGCATTGGGAAGACTTTTCCTATATATATATATGGTGCGGTTTGTAGTAGAGTTTAGGCTCTACACAATCAAATTAGAGTCTTCCTTCAAATAGTGTCGAGAAATGTGGTTCCAATACTGGAAATCTTTTTGATAGGCTTAAAATATATTTCCATATTGATTTATAAAATTTGAAACTTCAAAAATAGTGTAGATTGAGAGATCTATGGAAACTTGAAAATCTTTAATATTGACCTTCTAAAAATGCATTACAAAATACGCTATTTCCAAAACCTGAAATCCATGTTTTTCTCATGTCCGTTCATCTTGATGTCGAGATGATCAATTTGGGGATATTTGGGCATCAAAACAACCTCTTTTAGTGAAATTTTCGAGGTAGGATCGAATTTGATTGTTTGGAGCCTCGGCTCTCTCCCTCTCTCTCTCTTTATATATATATATATATATATATATATAGTTGCAACTTTCAACGTTCCAATTAAGACATACCTCCAAATTTTATCATAACATGTAATTTTGGTGAAAAACATTTTTAGGATTATCTCAACATCTTTTTTCATATCTAATTATAAAATTTTAAACTCCAAAAATGGTTAAAATCAAATAGATTTATAAACATATGAAAATCTTGAAAATAGACGGTCTAGATAATGTATTGCAAGATACACCATTTCTAGTTCTTCAATTTTAGTATTTTATATACATTGCATTGAGCAAAACTTTTGGGCATCTACATTTTTGAATCTCACACACACCATTAGAAAAACATTTTACAAAACTAAAATACCCAAAAATAACCCGAAACCTCTAGAGTTATTTTGTTCGTTATATTTTATTTGAATTATTTGTTTTATACTTGTCACATACGTGCCCCAATGAGATGCACTCACCCATGTGAAATGCGCACTTCAAATTTTCGTTCTAATTTATTCTTTCAATTACTTCCCCATAAATAAAATAAAAAATAATTAGTTTCCATCTTACTCGGGCTCTTTTGTGAGGGTTGCTTTTTTTTTTTTGGTTCTTTTGTTACGGTTGTTTTATTTTTTATTTTTTTTGTGACGGTTGCTTTTTTTTTTCTTTGGATAATAAAAGTGAAGAAATTCAAAAGCAAGCGTGAACAGCAGGATTCGACTCTGCACGGGCAGAGCCCACATGATTTCTGGTCATGTAACCACTCCAGCACGTCCACTGAGGTTTTGTGGGACGTGCCTTCTTCAATTAGAAATAAACAATTTGTACAAAAAAGAACAACTTTTTTGGAAGTTCGCAAGAACACTTCTACTCAGTTTTGGAGAAGAAATTTTTATAAAAGGTGTCAACCTGATGCTATTGTATTTAGGCGTACCTCAAAAACTCATCAAAAGAAGTTGTTTTGATGCTCCAGACACTCTCAAATTGATCGTTTTAATTTGAAATGTATGGCTATAAAAAAAAATAATAATAATAAAATTTCAAATCGTAAAAATAATGCATCTTGTAACACATAAATAGATTGTTCAATTTTAATTTTTTTTATTGTTTATGTATTTGCTTGATTTATATCAATTTTTGAAGCTTTAAAATTTCAAAATTAAAAGTGACAGTAGATTTTCAAGGTATCACAAAGCTTTCTAACAGCTAAACTGCATCTTCTATAAAACATTTAAAGTACGCCATAGTATAAAGTTGACACTTATACATACAAACCTCGCCCTCTTGATAATAATTGATTATAGTTGGAACCGCCAGCGTGGGCAGCAAGTCTATTTTATCCCCAAGGCTCAGGCAGATAGACAAAAAATAATTGTACTAAAATAATTTTTTACTAGATAATTATTTTTTCTAAAGTTTTATAATTTTTAAACATTTTAAACTTCATACATGTTCACTATCCTTACTCTGCTTTTCTTTCGAGTTGGCAAAATCGGCCGATCTAGGTTTCCAACTCGGTCCATTTGACTTGGAACCGGTGGGGGTTGACGAGCTGGATCTGGAAGTCGGGCTTTCAAACAATCCGTATTGTAATTGCTAACATTCAACTGGTGTCCCTATGAGGCCAAATAAAGGTTCTCTCTCTCTCTCTCCCCCCTTTCCCTCGTCTAGTATTATGTTCAGGCCATGTGCTGCTTGTATGGCCTTCAATACTCCTGAAATTAAGCACTCTTGCATGTCAATAGTAATTATGTGGGGGGAAGATAGGCCTTACCCATTTTTTAGCTTTTTTTTTTTTTTTTTGAAAGTGTTGATGGTGGGCTCAACAAGATTGGAAACTACAATGTGGTAACTAGGTATGGGGGTGCTACCACCACGACCCAGTTCTTTTCCTACTCTTGTGACCTCTATGTACAAAAAGTAAATGATCTTTTCATAGACAATTCTTTCATTTATAGCATATTGTGACCGGGCCAAAAATTAATCGCATAGTCAACAAAACAAAATCAAAGGCAATCCATGGTAAGAAGGGAAAAATTATATACACCCCTCAAACCTACTTTTTAGGCATCTCGCCCACCTCCATCCCCAACCCAAAAAAAAAAAAAACAGAAATTAAAGTACGCTATTAACCCAAATAAAGTTTATTCTCTTATCTACCCCCAATTAAAAACTGACTTTTTTAGATCAAAATATCTCCCATTTTTGTGAGGACCTACATAAAATAAATATCAAAAGACATTTTAGACATTTTTGTCTAGCACATTTGTGTCTGATTGACACGATTTCAATGTAAACCGGTTGGTAGAAATTTAGTATTATAAGCCGATCTAACACATTTTATGTCGGACCGACGCATTTGGTTAGAAGCCAGCTTGGCGCATTTTATATTAGACCAGCACATTTTGAATGTCACAAGCAAGTCTGACACATTTTTGTTCTAAAATGGTACATTTTGGGCGTCACCTTTTGGATGAGCAGCTTGGATTAGTAAATGGGTATTTTAGTCTAAAAAACCAATTTTTTTACTTGGGTGTGCAAGAATAGATCGTATTAGGCTTAAATGCATTATTTAAAAAGTATTGGGGTGTATTCCTATTCGAGGGTATCTATAATTTTCGCTAGAAAAAAGCTATAGTGGATAGTTTAAGGAGGCATTTAGAAGACTAACTATTAGTGGTAAACTTATAATTTCCCAATCCTCCGCGACAATTTTGTACATGTAAATCAATTTTGGCTGATCAATAAAATAGTCCTTATATTTGTCAAAAAAACAAACTAGTTTTTATCCAATAAAAGAATAAGTCAAAGACATTTTCAGCTAGTTAGTGCGTGATTAAGATTACGCGTGATCATCGCTTGACAAAGACCAAAATCTCAGATAATGCAAGTCAAATTGTAAGAATAATGGTCTAATAAATACCTGTTATTCATCTAATAATTTGATTCCTTCGGGTAGAGATAAGATAATATTGTTAATTAATTTATATATAAGCATTGACATCATCAAATTTGGGCCCTCACACTGTTTAGGTGGCAATGCGTATATGCATTTAAAAAATGAAAAGGTTTATATAAGACTGAGGTGCCTCAAAAAAAAAAAAAAAAGTTTTTTTCATGCTGGAAAACCTTCAAATCCAATCATCATGACCTTGAGATACATAGATATAAAAAAATAGACTTCATGTCTTGAAAATAATGCATCATGTAATGCATTATATAGATCGTTAATTTTCAAGATTTTCAAGTGTTCATAGATCTACCTTCTATCCACTACTTTTGAAACTAAAAATTTCATAATTAGAGATGAAAATACATTTGCAATATATTAC